ATATAGATCGAAATCTTTTGCAAATCGATTTGAAAATAGAAAAGTTATAGCAAATTTAGTAAATGATATTGGATTCAAGCAACGTATCGTTACTGTACAGCACATTTGATCGTAAAATCAATTAAAATAACATTTCCATTGGCATGTTATGCACATCGCAATTAGAAATACAGCTGAAAAAAGTTTACGAATTATGATGCTCTGGCTGGCAAAAAACGTGATAAAATAAGATAAATTGAGATAGCAAAATAAGATTTGATTTTTAGATAAAGTTGGGAAGTTTCTGCGGGATAAATTTATACTTGTAAATATTTTCCACCAAAATAAAAACTATTGTACTAAAGTTACATAAAAACTTCTAGCTTTTTCCATGGTTTGCTTTTTTGTCCATTTTTATCCTCTCATATGAGAGAAATTCTCAGAATTTAAGACTACTTACCGACAAAACAAATTTTTTTAACGAACGTTCTAATGTACATACATACAAACATATGTACATACCTTAACTGTTTTACTTATACCATAAAACTGGGTGTGTTCTCAATATAATGGGAACATTCTAATCATAATTGGTATACATTTTAAAACTCCAAAAATATACTATTTAGGATCGTCTAAAAAGAAAAATAATAGAAACTCCCATCCCAAAATACCATCAATTATATTTTGTTAATACCAATGTGGCAACGCCGCTTCTAAAATGTACATTTTATGAAACTTCAAAAATGCCTGTATCCGTCAAAAAAGTTTGAAGTGAAACTACCTTCTATTTTTTTATCACGCAAAGTTTTGATGGATAATAAAATTATTTGAAGTTTCATAAATTGTGAGTATTATCAACGCCCCTGCCACCTTTATAATATTAAAACAATAAATCGGGGTATTTTCTTTCACATATTTATACCAACATAATAATTATAGTCAAAAAGCATTATCAGTGCTTGGTATTTTTTTATCACGTGGTTCGCACCTTTTTTATTAAAAATATATACATATAAACTATTAAAGCAGATTTTTTCGTAATTGTTATTTCTATTTTATAATAAGAACCACGAGCACATTATGTTGTTATTTTTTTTTTTATTTGCTTATTTTTGAGTGCAATCTTGCGATTTAAATTCTAAAGAATGTTCTTCCCAAATAAAACCTCTTTATAATATTTCCGCAGAGCCCCGTGCAACCCAACATCAAAAACTAAAAAAACAAAAAAGTGTTTTTTTCTAATTGCAGTCGCCTCTCGGCAGGCAATGGCAAACCTTCAAGTGTATTTCTGCCATGAAAACCAGCTTTCTCATAAAAATACAATCGCCGTTCGGACCAGCGTTGCCATTTTAGCCGTTTTCCGGCTAGATTTAGCCGGTTTTGATAGCAACTAGCCGGAGAAAATTCGATCTAGCCGGCAGCCGATTTGTTAGCCGGTTTGTAAAAAAAAGTTAGCCGTTTTTAGCCGATTTTACTATTTGCCTAATTTTCAGGTGCAAAAAGTAAACAAGTTGTTCGAAAGCAATAATGCAGACCCAATGAAGATTTTTAATGAACTCAATGTTTTACTTTCGCATCTATGCTCCCTAGTGGTTATTAGCGCGGACACATTTGATCCTATATGCTCCCCGTTGGAACCATACCTTGCTCCATNATTAATGAATTCAGGTGATATATACAATAGTGATTCATTTGATGATGAGGAATATACACTCGATATAAATTAATGGTGTTAACTAGTCTTTCGTTTCTTGCGATTTATTTAAATAAAGCATGTGGATTTTCACTAAAACATTTTAGTCGTTTTTAGCCGCTTTTTTTGCCAATCTAGCCGGTCGGCCCAAAAAGTTCTGGCAACACTGGTTCGGACTCGAACTGTACACTGAGGGAAATAATGCATAGTAAAAATGAATACTTTATATTTGATTATCGTTTAAAAATGTTCGAATTTAAAAATAATATTTTCATACAAAATTTATTACNGTAAAAATGAATACTTTATATTTGATTATTGTTTAAGAATGTTCGTATTTAAAAATTATATTTTCATGCAAAATTTATTACGCACGTATTTGACTGTTCACATCTGAGTATGTATGAATATGTAAGTGTACATACGCACCCCAAGAATGCTGAGCGCCGCTCTGAGAGCGGTGACATCACACACATACATACATAGTACATACATGTTTATCCAAGAACGATAGAATACAAGATTCCGCATTCCCGCAGAATGACATTTGTGGCAATGGGTAAACATTGAACAGTTGTGAATTTGCAGTGAGAAAACGTGTTCTCTTCACGATTCACCAATTTCTCAAGCCATCTTTGAATATAGCAAATTAAGCACAACGTTAACAAACAGTATACAACCACTCTTGAAATGTGTTCAAAAGAATAGGTCTTATTAATTAACTATTTAGAATTTTTGTGTTTGTATTGCAGGTGCCGAAAAAGTGATAATAAAAAAATAAAAAAAAAACTGCATTTGGGGGCTTTACCCCTACGGCTGCTGCAATTCAACACACGACACGACATTTTTATAAACTTTTTATTACAAATAAAACGTTTTTTACTTTAGAACGCACGAATTACTTCGATTTTCACTTGAAAGTACACAATACGTTTACAATACGTTTGCATTTGTTTCCAAACAAAAAGTTTGTTTACGTATTGCCCGTCAAAGTCGGCAAAACCAAAGTAGCGGTTTCGGGAATGCGCCACCTTCAGTTCATTACACCATGATGTTTATCCGTACAAATCGCGTGCTGGGGTGTTGATGGATATTCATCATTTGAAAGCAAATTTATATGCCTGTGTGTGGCTGAGTGCGCAAAGATACTTGCCACAAGTTGTTGATATCCGGAGATGGTCGGGTTCGAATTCCACTGCAGGCAACACGCAAATTAAATTTTTTTTTTAGTTTTTGTCTTGATTATTCACATCACGGATGCTTTTTCAGTACGAACGCGGTCATTTTAATATGCGCGTAATTGAATTGAATAATTACCAATATACAGTACTTCCGTTGACGTTTATTGTAAGATCAATTACGGTTCTATTTAATATTTTAATATTTTTTTCCCTCAGTGTAGATCCCTACCCTTTGTGTGACAACACCAAGGCGCCCTCCACAAATCGGAGGAGAAGCTCGACCAAACACTAATATATGTGCAAGCGCTAATCTATTATTTTATTTTGGTCCAAGTCTTTTAAATTTCTCATCACATTTTGCAAAAAATTATGCTTTGAGGTTAGCGTTGAATTAAAATTGCAATGTATGCAAAAAATTGCTTTCGTCTTGTACAGACCGACTTCCTATAAACAAGAAACATATATATAATTTTAACCACTTTCTTCATTCGCTCTGAAACCTAGTTTCGTTAACCCTATTTCGAAATTGTAGCCGGCAAAATTTTCAAGTCCATCATATTCCACATCTTTGAGTGGACTGATGAAATCTACTGTTAAAAAAAAAAATATTACTTCTAGTGATCAGGTAGCATGAAATTGATGAAATGTCATAATTTTATTAAAAATCAAATGGTTAACCACATCAGCGAATCTCTTTAAATGGAACTACCTTCTTTTTTGTATCGTGCTTGCCCCCCTACTTGCTCCTTTGGGGAGCAGCTCACTTTTAGTCCCGTTGGGTAAACATATATTTTTGCTTACTTGTTTGCATTTGTCATTTTGTTTTGAGAAAATATTTTGAACGTTAATTGGAAATTTTCCAATTTGCTTTCATATTCACTCACAATAGTGCTATAACTGGATTTGGCTGCACCTTACACGAAGTCGGATATTGTTATACGAGTTGGATTGTTCTTTTCGAACTCGTACAGAAAAGATTAGAGCTAGTATACCATTAACATGAAAATCGAAGAGAAGCATGGTAAAATAAACAAATAGAATCTCATTTTAAACAGAATATACGACATTTCTTTTGCCCTTAATAACAAACGAGTGTTGAATTTCTTCTTTTTTGAATGTTTTATTTTGAACGCAGATGTGGTTAATAAATTTTTCCCAAGACAAAAGTGGAGAATTACCAGGGGGTTGACCCCCCGAAGTGCTTAAAATTTATTTAAATAACTTCGCGAAGAACAACATTTAATCTTGTATTGCTAGAGACCTGAGAACCCAACTTAATTTTTATGATATTGAAGATGCCTAATACTATGTTCACGTTGAGCCTAGGCCCCTATTATGATTCACAACTTTGAAGATAGTTGAGTTGTAAGTTGTAAATTGGTATTGTGGGACACAAGTCAACTCAACTTCGAAAACGTAGTTATCTGTCAGTTGTCTGGGCAGCTTTTCTTTATTCAAAACGCGAAAATTTTTGAGTTTAGTGCTTGGTGCGTTTTTTGGTGCGTTTGTTTTTCGTTTGAGGACATCAAATCTGTAAACTTAAAAAAACAGGGGCAAAATTTATAGCAACCGTAAGTTTTGTAAACTTAAGCATATGTTTACCAACAAAATATGTTGCAGGACTTTTAATCATGTCATAATTACATTCGGTAATTGGTAATTACTGGAACCTTAAATCGACCTTTAGTTTGGGCTCCATTGGTTATATATTTTTTTACAATTATTCAAAAAAGCAGCAGCATCTCCTAATAGTAAAATTAATATCTAACAAACTGTTTGAAAAAAGAGAATAATCGAAATTGGGTGGGATTTGAAGAGTAGACAGCTTTTTTGACCCAAAAATATTTTTCCCACTATGCGCCAGTAGATAATACCCGCAAATACTATACATTAAAAAGGGAAATCAAATTTATAATTATAAATGTGTACACTAAGCAACGATTTTATTTCATTTTATTTTTCGGCGTAAATGTATTTTGGGCGATATTTTGTGATTCTTGAAATAAAAATTTTAATCTATAACAGTAATACACGCTCCCTATTTATTAGCCTAAGTAGAATTTGGCGGTTATTGCTTTTCGGCGCAGCAAGTCAGGACGCATATTATTTATTATTTATTTCACTAATACCTTTGTATTTTTTAGCTGAACCCCTGCCGTTAATGGATTTGTGTAGAAGAACCATTCGCCAGAAAGTAGGACGGATACATTTAGAGGAACGCATTCAGGAACTACAACTTCCTCTGTCCATGAAGAAGTATCTACTGTACAAAAATCGAAGATAATACCTTAATGTAGATACTTAAGATATAATTTACAATTATTGTAATTTCATTGTCAAACAGTATCTTGTAAAACTGCTGATGTTGCCACTATTACACGCGTAAGATCTCCAAAATTTGGTATATTTACAATAGAGTAAAGCAACGTCAACTGATCCTTGATAATTTGGACAAGTCACGGGTTTAAAAAAAAAAATTGTAAAGTAATTACACAGGCCTGCGAAATTTAAGTTTTGTTTCCCACTCCAATAACACTGGTTTACAGCAAAAAGGTTCAATCGATGCCACTATCCAAAACCTATAAAGAATTGCTCGATGATTCAGAAAATCGACTTAATTTTTTATTCTATGGATAAGTTTTCGAGATATTTTCAATTTACCATTATTCAGCTTAAAACAAAAAGTGGTTACACTTAATCACGTACATATATTTTACGAACCAATTTAACAATCTTAATATGAAATACAGCAAATGAAAGCTAACAAAATTCTATATAGACCGTATATAAATCACTTTTCGATAGGTGTGATAGTTTCTGACAAATTAATCATTCTAGATTTTTGATATGATATGAAAAAAAAAAAAACACTTTAACAGAAGAAAAATTAAAAAATAACAAGTTCTGTGTCAAATGTTTGCCTTTGTGCTAAAGCTTGTTCTGTTACAAAGAAATCAAGTTGCTAGTGAAGAAAATCGATTTATAAATAAAGAAGTAATGAGTGGTCAAATGAAAATGCGCAGATTTTTTGCATGATATATGAGCATAAAAGCGTGCTACTTAGGTGTACATGGCGTATGAGTAACATTATTTCCTGCTCATTTTTCATACAAAAAAGCTTTGCGCACTTTCATTTGACCACTCATTACTTCTTTATTTATCCATCGATTTACGTCATTAGTTTGTTAAATTGGTTCTTGAGATNGCTTTGCGCACTTTCATTTGACCACTCATTACTTCTTTATTTATCCATCGATTTACGTCATTAGTTTGTTAAATTGGTTCTTGAGATATAAGTGACTAAGTGTAACCGCCTTTCGTTTTATCTGAATAACGGTAAATTGAAAATATCTCGAAAACGTATCCATAGAACAAAAAATTAACACGATTTTTGTAATCAGCGGGCGATTCTACATACAAATTGGATAGTGGTGGCTGGAGAACCAAGACCAAATTAAAATTTGTGATCCAGTGTAATTATTTTCTTTCTTTGAATATCTAGGTATGTTAAATTAAAATGCATCTAACACGTCGAGATTTTTTTTTACTGATGACATATATATTTTAGGATTTTTAAGTAAAAATTCATTTCAAAATCAATTAATTTTTGGTTTTTCATGCTAATTGCTAAAAATCCTAAAATATATTTGTCATCAGTAAAAAAAACCCGACGTGCTAGGAAAAAACCAAAGATGCATTTTAATTTAACAAGGTAATTTTAAATTTCGCAGGCCTGTGCTATAATCCTTATGCTAGCATATATGTAAATAATTTGAAAAGTTTCTATATTTGTCCATTTTATGGACAATTATAATTTAGAGTATGACAAGGTTTAAACATTTACAATTTATTTATACTAAGCTACAAAAGCTACCGGGAGAAAAATTAGCACACTCATAAAACACTTCATAAAAAGCAACATAGTCAAATTGGTATAAATAACACAGTCCAAAAAATGTAGGCTTTTTTTGCAACAGAGTAACCATGGTATAATTTTGATAGAGAATCCCTGT